CAAGGAAAATGCGCACTGCCCTCTCTTCTTTTCAAAGAGCACAGACGCGCTCGCCCAAGTCTGGCCGAGCCGCCCGCTGTATGCCTTCCCTCCGGTCGCGATGCTACCTCAGGTCATCAGTCGGATCAGGGAGGAGAAATGTGCAGTGCTCCTGGTAGCCCCACTCTGGAAGAACCAGACGTGGTTTCCAGAACTGATGCAGATGATGCAATCTGCCCCATGGCCGATTCCCCTGAGGCTAGATCTCCTCAGGCAGGCCAACGGGATGATCCTCCATCCCCGCCCCGATCTGTGGGCCCTCCATGCGTGGCCCCTCAACGGATTCCCGGGAACCTCCCCAGTGGAGTGTTGAGAACCATCACTGAGGCGCGAGCGCCCTCTACGAGGTGCTTATATGCCCAGAAATGGAAGGTGACTGGTGTAAATCCAGGAACCTGAATCCTGAGACATGCGAAGTACCGAGCATGCTCGTTTTCTTACAAGAGCTGCTGGAGGCAGGCCGCACCCCCTCCACGCTCAAAGTATATGTGGCTGCCATAGCGGCATCACATGACCCTGTGGAAGGACGCACACTAGGGAAAAACTACCTAGTTGTTCGTTTCCTGAGGGGTGCCAGGAGGATAAATCCCCCACTCCCCCCCTCGGTGCCGATTTGGGACCTGGCCACGGTCCTGGACGCACTTAAGCGTGCCCCGTTCGAAACCCTCCGAACTGTGCACCTTAAACAGCTCTCGCTCAAGACTGCTCTCTTGCTGGCTCTCGCCTCGGTCAAGAGAGTGGGCGACCTGCACGCGCTGTCATCAAGCGCTGCCTGCCTGGAGTTTGGACCTAACGACAGCAGGGTTGTCCTCAGGCCAAAACACGGGTATATTCCTAAGGTGCTCTCTACTCCTTTCAGAGCACAGGTGATATCTTTGGCCGCGCTATCGTCTCCAGCAGACGAAAGCGACGCTAATTTACTCTGCCCGGTCAGGGCACTCAGAGTATATTTGGAACGTTCTGCCCTGTTCAGACAGACAGAGCAATTGTTTGTATGCTTTGGCGGCCGCACTAAAGGTCTGGCTGTTTCAAAGCAAAGAATATCGCGCTGGATAGTTGATGCTATAGCGCTGGCTTATGAAGCCAAGGGCCTTCAGTGCCCCTTGGGCATCAGAGCTCACTCTACGAGAGGCATGGCCTCCTCGTGGGCGTGGTCTAGTGGGATACCCATTCAAGATATTTGTGCGGCAGCAGGCTGGGCCTCACCGTCCACATTTATCAGGTTTTATAACCTACAGGTCCCCTCATTGCACTCTAACATACTGTCTGTAGCAACAATGACTTGTTTGGGGAAATTATTAGCTCAAATGGAGAATATTATTCATTAGATAATGAATATGTAATCGCATACATAAATTAAATTATCCCAAATAGGGAATGGACTAAACCTCACCATATATGAATAATTAACACGATGGCTCGTAGTAATTATTGATATCTAGTTCAGTTAAGTCAGATTAATTATCAGGGTCAATTTACATGTGATTCCAAATTAGTTTGTCATGCATCCCGGTTCGTCCTGCGGACCGGAGCCGAAAACTTCCTTATATCACAAGATTACCTGCCTGTATACCGAGTGAATATTTTCCGGTGGCCACACGGAAGTATCTGCTCGTATACGGCACTTTCAGATGTTTAAAATAGTTAACCGAGGTAGAGCTTTGACAACTTTACAGACCTTTGACATATTACAGAGACTTCAAGCATGGGACAATGAGACAGATTCGATTCAAAGGATTATGGAATTTAATAACACAATACTAAGGGTTATATAGACTACTAAAAATCACGCAGGAGTAAATAATATGCATATCAAAACAAACAATTAACACAGGATTGCAATATGACGTATTTAAAAAGAGACAGTTAGAGTGAGAGGGAGAGAGAGAGAGAGAGAGAGAGAGAGAGAGAGAGAGAGAGAGAGAGAGAGAGAGAGAGAGAGAGAGAGAGAGAGAGAGAGAGAGAGAGAGAGAGAGAGAGAGAGAGAGAGAGAGAGAGAGAGAGAGAGAGAGAGAGAGAGAGTGAGAGAGACAGAACAGTTCAAAACAGTGCAACAGAGACCCAAAGGATTCTAACATTAATCTAAACAACCTTAAGCAGCACTTAATTGAGATTCGTACGTTACTTGATTTAAAACGGTCCCCTTTTGCGTGCGGCTGTGTTACAGAGGCTGGTCGGTAGCTGGCGTGTCTGGAGCGTCTTCCGGTAGGAGGCAGATGTTTGCGATTGCTTTAGCTGCGCCCGTACGAGAAACGATAAATCTTAGGCTTGTTTCGTTCGTGAATACACTGACCGAAGTCAACTATCAAACGGAGGTAGATCAAATAAAAGAAAACTTAGATTAAAACAAAGTAGGAAAAACGACGATGAAGAATAGGCAGAACTCCGGCTGGAGTTTGCAGGAAATTTGGGATTTCTCTCTCTGGCTAAAAGACTGCAAAGAGGAGAAGGTGGCGGTCTATTTTGAAGGGGCGCGGGACACGCCTTTCTCACGTGTCTGGTCCAATCGTTTGGGCGGAGGCGGGTCGGCGAACCTTGTGGTACACGCCTACCGGATCATGTGCATAGTGGATAAAACTTGTTCGAAATGCACTTCTAAACTAGTATTAATAAAGGCATGCATCATATTACATTTTGGGTTGATGATTCAATCTTCTTTGGTTATTCTGATTACAACGATATCGCGCACGATAGAGTTATACGTTAGTAAGATTACGATACATGATTTTCGTGATTAAACACATATCAAGTCTGATTACATATTATAAACTTACAGTTATGCAGATTTGGTAACAAGGGAATCATGAAAACACAACCACAAAACATTATACATTTACAAAAAGGGGATTTTTGATCCCATGTGTTCAGAGTGTTCCGTGTGTGTAAATGGGTGTTCAGAAGTTCAACCAGCGTTGGTCACGCGGTGAATTTGTGATCGAGTCCAGTATGTATGTGTGTGTGTTCACGCGTATGTATGTATGTTCAGAGTTCATTGACCGATGGTGACGGGGGTGAACTCGCGACCAGTCCCGTGTGAGCGTGTGTGCTTCGAATTTGATAAGTTTAAACAACTGCTACAATGGCCAGTTGTCTAATCTCACAATTCTCTTCTGTGTGTGTAAGCGAAAAACCCCAGGGGGAAGTCACATGTGGATAGTGGCCCGTAGGCCACTTACTCAGAGAGAAACCTCATGAGCGCATCACTATCAGTAATTCAATCAAGTCCAGTCACCATCCGCTTAGTGTGGCAAATTACAACAGAGAGGCTTTGTGAGTGACTCGGTAATCTAATCAGCAGTTCCAGGACACCTACTTTTGTCATAGTCTCTGAATTAAAAGAATGCAAAAACAGCAGTTTAAGAAAATGGCAGATCTGACCATGGCTACATGTCGGTCTAACTATGCATAGGCTGGGGTGTGTACATGCGAGCATTGTCTCCTCCCTCATAGAATCCGTCTTTGACTGATGTAGAGGATTTTTCATACATGACAGTACATAAAAATGTGCTTGTGTGTGTCTCTGGACGCCCATCGGGCCGTTCCAAGTTGTCCTTTTATAAAGCCCGCCTTCGGCTGGCTCGTTGGATAATTACTTTGCTCGAAGGCTCAGACATCTGCCTCCGGCTTAATAGAGCGAAGTCAGCACGCACGGCGTTTTACATGGCGTTCCCATAGCGTAAGCTATTACGCAATAGGAGGAACCTCTCGAAAGGGAACGACTCGGTTACTAACGTAACCTCGGTTCCCTGAGAGGAGGGAACGAGTATTGCGTAATCTGCCGTGCTTGTGCTTGGTCAGTTTGCTTCAGTCGATTGAACCTAAAGAACTCAGACGACGGGGCGCCCAATATATAGCCCTTGGCCACGCCCATCTTGGCGGGCTCTGACGCGCGTGGGCGCGAAGCACGCTCATTGGAAGCGGGTTCAGAGTCGCCCCGTCATTGGTTCGTGCAGTTGCCGCAGCACAGCCAATGACCGAGCTGCCTCGCTCATTGCTGTATGCTGTGCAGCTGCAATGCGTTTTACATAAAGACTTCAATATTTCTCGAGAAAAGGAGTTTTCCCATAGCGTAAGCTATTACGCAATACTCGTTCCCTCCTCTCAGGGAACCGATGTTACGTTAGTAACCGAGTCGATTTCACGTCAGATTCATAGTTCATGCAAGCAAGCCGCGGCAAGCACATAATTTATGAATTCTCAGATAAAGTTTTATTCTCGTTACAAAGGACGTTCGTAAGGAAGATTCAAAGACTATTTCCCTTTCTCGCAGCATGCAGCCAACGAGGTATTTTGTTTTATTTGTCTGTATTTTGTCAGTGAAATGTCATTACATCTGTTGCATGCGTTTTTGCGCATAGCTTTCGCTTTGTGTCAAGCTGATGTCATTTCTGTATTTTTTTGTACCGTTTAGTTTTCGCGGTGTATTTGGAGAAAAGTCTTCAATTAAACCAGTAGCAAGATAACCACTTGTGTCTGCGTATGCTTTGGAGGGAGTTAAAACGTACAAGGCTCACACTGTGTTTCTCCTGTGTTAAAATGAGTTTTAAGTGGTTAAGAATAGTTAGTTCTAGTTCTAATCATTATCACAGCGAGCAGTTCAGTTTGTTAATTCGTCCTGCAACTAATATGAACCCCATGACCGCGTTGTCATAGTTACCCTGCTATGGTAACATTCAAGCATCTTTTTAGAACTGTTGTTGGTGTGAAACTTGATGGCTGGGTTGTTTGGTTTCATCAGGTAATTTTAGCCTATAATGGACAGTCTTGATGTTTAAATTCAGCTAAGCTAAGACAATCTGTAAAACAAATGTCAAAATGATTTTATGTACCATTCATATGCAATTATTTTCTTTATGGAAAGGACCGTATGATTGTCAAGTGTAGTTGTCTAATTAAATTATAGCATCTACATGCCTAACTCTCTCTCTCTCTCTCTCTCTCTCTCTCTCTCTCTGTTTTAGGACTATGCTAAGAAAGAGAAAGCCATTGCAAAAGCCCTGGGGGATTCCAAGGCAAACTTCTATTGTGAACTATGCGACAAGCAGTACCATAAACATCAGGAGTTTGACAACCACATCAACTCGTATGACCACGCACATAAACAGGTAAACTCGAACAGCAGGGGGTCGAGCTCATTAGATGGAGAAGCAGGAAAGAATGCAGAAATGAAAGAATATTTGGAACAGTGATTCAACTTTTTCCCTACAGTATATAAAGCCACTACCTTGAGCAAAGTGTCGCACGCTGTATAGACCTTATGTAGCCACGCCCCTTTTCCGCGCTGAGCTCATTGTCTTTTGACTTCCAGTCTGTATTTTCACAGCGATCTTGCCTAGTCATGAATGAACGGCTCGTTAAAAAAAATTCCCAAGGTCCATTTGTTAAGACATATGCTTTACAATGTTTAGCATAAACATTACAATGCTCATGATAACTTTCGTTAACTCTACAATAAGTAAATCAACTTCACCAGCTAATTACTCCTGGACAGCGATGCCATAGAAATTTACAGAGCAACCGCAAAAACGGAAGTTCAAAGACAATATTCTAAAGATGGCGGCGCCCTCGTTTCTCTGGTGCATAAGGTCTATATGAATAGAAACTTGCTTGGTTAAACATTGCTTGACCATTGTTTGTTTTTGTTAAAGTAGTTTAAGTTTTTGTTTTCCCAAATAGTCAGATTATTCTTGGCATATAATGTTGATAACTAAAGATTCACTTAATTTAATTAATTTGTCACGCTGGCGCAGGGATGAGGAGAGGCAAGGATCTTTAATAAATACAAAAACAAAGATATTCCAAACAGGTGAGGCAGGTGAAGAAAAACAATTACTCTTTTTACTGTATTTTTTATCAAATAAATGCAGCCTTGGTGAGCATAAAATACTTAAAAATAAAAATCATAAAAATAAAGCATAAAAATAAAAATCAACGCTATCTCACGACCATTTCGTACGAATTGGTACGACCTCATTTGTACAAATTTGTATGATTTGTCTAAACCCCAGTGATGGGTAGGTCTAGGGGCGGGGTCAGGGGTAGGTCATTCATATGAATTCATATGAATTGGGCAACTCGTAAAAAATATACGATTTAGCAAAAATCTTTCAAATTCGTACAAGTGAGGTCGTATGAATTCATACGAATTTGCCACCTCGTAAAATACGTACGAATTGCTGTGAGATCGGGTTAAAAAATATACAAACAACCCCAAACTTTGAATGGTTGTAATTTTTATATATAGAGGTATATACTGTATGTCTCAGACAGCAGCACATCATGAATCACATAATACTGAACAATGTAAGTTTGATTGCTAATCAAATCTGCCATCATTATAACATATGACATATTACCTGTTACTGAGAAAAAATATATTATCCTAAGAGTGGTCTATAGAATTTAAAAGTTAAAGCATCTTGATACTTTATTTAGTCAGCACTTTCATTAAAAATAATTAAGCAAAACAGAAAAGGGAGAAGAGATCAGATCAATCAAGAGAAACCAAAAATCTGCTAAGTAAATAGCAGGGTAGATTGATAGGAGGAGTATATGAAGTAAGGAGGAGGAGGAGAGAGCTGAGGATGTGCTGACTGGTGCCAGGATCTCAGACTGGAGTCTGGTGCCCATCTGTGTGGCATCTGAGATTAAACATGTTCCCTGGCATTTCGAGCAGCAGAAAACACTAAACATGTGCAGCGCTAATTCTGGGCCATCATCATCCTGGGTGCTTCTAACAAACTGAGCTTCTAACAATGAACAGCCCACAGACTGATTAAACTGTCTTCATCCAACAACTTCACATGTCTTAACCGTCATAAGCCAAATACTGCATCATTAGAACTCTAAACTTTAAACTTACAAAACTTCACTCTAATGAAACATTTCATATGTACAATTACATGAAAGCCAATGCAAAACAGAGGGAGAGAGATACAGAAAGAGGGAAAGAGAGATGTGACTCACTCTCAAATCTCTGCTGAGTGACAGTTATACCAAAAGCATTCAGAGAGAGAGGGAGGAAAGTAATTACACATGTTGTTGCGATGGATTTCATCTCCGTGCAAACATGGCTCCGATCAAACCACAGATGACTGCACACTTGTTCATCGTGCAGATGTGTCTGTTCCTGTTAGTCAAAGTCAATGAGTCAGAGATGAATGATGCCAGCTCAGCACGAACATCCGTAATATTCCATAATCAATCATGAGATTTTCAGCCGAGTGTTTCACATCAGTACATTGTCACAGAGAAATTAGCATGGCATTCTTGTTTCTGTTTAATTAATTGTGACCAAATGTTTTTTTTTTTCCTTGTGTAAAATGTTGAGATTACTCATCTTTGTGTCAAATGTAATAAATACTGCTATTTTATGACAGATACCACAGTAATACAGCATTATGTCTGAATTGTAATTGATTCATTTGTAAATTTGAGCTGTGTCCTAATAGTTAGACAAACTAACTGTGTATAGTCAATGGTGTAAAATATGCTGAGTTGTGAGTTTGACGGTTTTAGGCAGTTGGGTGTTACCCCAAGCCAGCCGGTTCACATATGGCACTAGAAACACGCAGCCTGGCCGTGCTCCCTGGTCCTGAGGAACAATCCTGTATATTTTACAACCCACATAATCCCCAGTCACTTAGTGCGCGCGTGTGTGTGTGTGTGTACTGTGTGCATTGACGTGCACCAAACATGGATGAGAGGTTTGATTTTATTAATCTTTAAGAGCCACAAAACCTTTCCTAGAGAGCTATTTCCTCACTTCAATAAAAAGAGGAGGGAAAGGAAGAGGTGAGGCATGAGACGGCATTTACAGCCAGCGTAAAGAACGAGAGAAGAAAAGACATGGAGTTACCCTCATGTTGTGTTTAGGGGTCTAAAAGATCCTAAGGCAATTTAATAGCTTGAGAGAAAAACCATTGAAGTGTTTTAAAATTTTACATTACTTTTCATTTGGGTTTGTATTGGGTGAGAGCCTATATATAAAACATGAATACGTTCAAGGAATTTTAAATGCTAAGATTCTGTGAGATATTCTCAACTTCATACTCAATATTTAATTTAGTATTTTTTTTTCTGTTTTTGTGTGAATTCTTTCTATCTGTCTGTCTGGCATATTTGCATATCTGCTTCAAATTTGTTTTCGAACATGGTTTTGTCAAGCAAAATTGACAAAACCATGTTCAAAACATTTTGAATTGATAAAGGTTGCTTTTTTTAGTTAAAATGTGTTATATGAAATCTTTTTAATTCTTCTTCCTTACATTGAAACTCAAATTCAAGACCTGCATTGGAATTGACAGTTTTCTCAGTCGCTTTGGTGCATTTCTCAGATCACAACTGAAATTCTCAAAACTAGTTGTTCAACCTCCATATCATTTAGTCACTTGTGCACATCATAAACAATTTCTCATTCTTTTGAACAAATTGCAAATGTGTTAATACTTTCATACAATTGATTATGAACAATTGTCTGCTATTTCCTACATTATCAATTGCTAATGTCATGTTGATCAAAATGTATTATACTGGTTCTTTGTTAAATAGTCTTTTTTTATATATATTTTTTTTTTATTGTGACATTATTCATATTGCGATCATACAACTAACATGTCAGAGTAGACACAATATATATATATATATTTTTTCCCTTCTTTCCCTTCCCCTCCTTTACACCCCAGTGAATAAAAAAAAAAAAAATTATAGTCTTACCCCTCAAAACGGGCATTAGTTCCTTGCATAAGTCATTAAATGCAAAATGGTTGAATTAGTTGTCATAAACTGTCAAGAATATTTTCTATGCATTCTATTAGAATTCTTTTTGTAAATGTGTCCTGAATTGATGAATTGCGGAGGTGAATTTTGAATTTTACTAATGAAGGAAAATGTAAAGGGTTAGAATAGATCAACCAATGATCAACCAGTTCTGTAAAATAACTCAGAGGAGCATTTCATGAAGCTTTAATTGGCAAGCATATATAGACCGAGTACAACTAGTGTTGTAAATGCTAACAATAGAAGAATGACAACGAAAGGAACAGAGGAAAAACAGTGAAAGAGGTAGAAGAGGCCAGGATTGTAGACATGTTTCTGATTAAAAAAGGGCCACTATTGTGGATTATGTTCTCAAACATGACCTAACAATGGCTGAGGCGGGTCGAGAGGTACAGTCGAATGTTGGGAGGACAACCGTGTCCTCAATCATTCAAACGTTTGTTGATAGAACAGGTATGTAATCAGACATTGTCCACTATACTGTAATATTGTATACTGTAATGCTCATTTTGAAATATACATAATGTATATATATACAAAAAAAGACAATGTAACACAAACATACACGTCATATAGTGTGTGTGTGTGTATATATATATATATATATACACTCACCGGCCACTTTATTAGGTACCCCATGCTAGTAACGGGTTGGACCCCCTTTTGCCTTCAGAACTGCCTCAATTCTTCGTGGCATAGATTCAACAAGGTGCTGGAAGCATTCCTCAGGGAGTTTGGTCCATATTGACATGATGGCATCACACAGTTGCCGCAGATTTGTCGGCTGCACATCCATGATGCGAATCTCCCGTTCCACCACATCCCAAAGATGCTCTATTGGGTTGAGATCTGGTGACTGTGGAGGCCATTTTAGTACAGTGAACTCATTGTCATGTTCAAGAAACCAATTTGAAATGATTAGAGCTTTGTGACATGCTGGAAGTAGCCATCAGAGGATGGGTACATGGTGGCCATAAAGGGATGGACATGGTCAGAAACAATGCTCAGGTAGGCCGTGGCATTTAAACGATGCCCAATTGGCACTAAGGGGCCTAAAGTGTGCCAGGAAAACATCCCCCACACCATTACACCACCACCACCAGCCTGCACAGTGGTAACAAGGCATGATGGTTCCATGTTCTCATTCTGTTTACGCCAAATTCTGACTCTAACATCTGAATGTCTCAACAGAAATCGAGACTCATCAGACCAGGCAACATTTTTCCAGTCTTCAACTGTTCAATTTTGGTGAGCTCTTGCAAATTGTAGCCTCTTTTTCCTATTTGTAGTGGAGATGAGTGGTACCCGGTGGAGTCTTCTGCTGTTG